AGGCTGGCCTTGAGCTCATTTTGTAGCCCAGGCTGGTCTCAACTCCCAACAATCCTCTTGCCTCAGCCTCTTCAGTGCTGGGATTACAGGTGTGCACCACCATGTCCGGCTCTGTAAATACATATAAATTCTTAAGACAGAACTATAGATAGATGTTTTAGTGCAAAGTGCCATTCCAAATAGTCAATAAAGATACAGACTAGAGGAAAAAAAAAAAAAAAAGATATAGTTTAGGATAAGTCTACACTTGTAATATTTCTTTACACTTTCCCAAGACTAGAATTTCCTCAAATTCCCTCAAAATATATACATGTATATAAAATTTTATTTATATGCATGTATGCATACGCATATAAAATTTTATATATATATATACACATACATATACATACATATATATATGTGTGTGTAATTTTGTTGCAGGCAGCTGAATTAGACACATTACAGGCAGTCAGAGGAAGCTAGGCCCTCAAGGAGACAAGCTATCTTGCAACTTGGGACAGACAGATTCTCCAGCTATGGGTCAAACCTCAAGACAAAAGAGTAAAGAAATGCAGCACATACCTCCCCGCAGCATCAGCGACTGATATTCTAAATAGGTATCAGTAACCTTGAAAAAGCCAGGAAGAGTCACCAACTCAACCCCCTCCAGGAAAAGCCCCTGTTCTGTATTCAAGGCCACTTGCTATGACTAGCTTCCCCATTTGATCCAGATTTAATCAATCTGACCTGAGCAATCCTGTTTGTAATCTTACTGGTTAACCATAGTTTTGTCCCACTTCACGTGCAAGGATTCCCACCTTAGATCCACCTCACCCCATGGTTTGGCTCTATAAAGATCCCTAGAAAAAGCACGTTCCTTGGCAACCCACTTGAGTCCCCTTCTTCCACTCAGACACAAGCTTTCTTCTCCATATATATACACACACACACATATATATGTATATATATATATATATATATATATATATATATATATTTTTTTTTTTTTTTGCAGTACAGGGGACTGAACTCAGGACCCTGTGCTTGCCAGGTACGTGCTTCTTATTCTACTGAGCTATCTCCCCAGCCCTCCCAATAAATATATTCTGCTCTTAACATCTGTTGCTCCTAAACTTCATTCTTTGGTTTTAGTGGACATGAACTTGCCCCAGATATATATGTTCTTATATATATCTCAGGTTGAGAGTTTCATTCCCCTACATCAACTGTTCTTCATAGGGTCTTTGAGAATCTCTAAATTTTCAGTAACACAATTTTAAAACAATTATAAATATAAGTTTAGAAGTCTAGGAAAATAATATATTTCACATGAAGATTTTTTATATAACAACAAATGACACAAATCTAAAGTATTGAAGAAAAATCTATCATGTATAAGAAATCCTAGTGTATTTTTAATCAGAATTAGCAAACTTCAACATCTAGTTATATAAAATTTAAGTAAAATGGTCTCACGAATGAAAACATAAAACTTGAAATAAAAGAATTACAATACTTATGGTTGCAACTAAAACCATATTTTAAGATGTGAAAAAAAAAACTTTTCATATTTATAGGTGGATCCCCAACTGTTCAACTATTTGAGTTTAAGTTGTTGAGTGTTTGTGGTTGTTGTTTTTGAGGGTCTCATGTAGGCCAAGCTGTGTACTCACAATGCAGCCCAGTTGGGCCCCCAACTTAAGAGTCCTGCTTCAACCTCCCAAGTGCTAAGGTTAAAGGCATGTTCCACCATACCCAGCTGACTAAACTTTTAAATATAATTTACAGATAAATACATTCAGAGATAGATCTTTCTTTGTCCTGTTGGTTTTAATTTTTATTTTTTTTTATTAATAGAGGCTTTAAATCTGTTAGGTGAAAATAACATGACACCGAGGAACAAGCTTAATAATAATACTGATTTTTCAAGGAGTTAGGTCAAAATTAAAATGGGAAAAAGAGGGTTATAGTTAACATAAATGTCTTAAAAATGTACTATTCACAGTGTTGCTAACATCAATATTTGGAAAGGCAGAATGCTAATACTCCACTTTAACAATTATCTGTCTGTCTGTCTGTCTGGGCTAGGGAATCAATTTGAGCTGCAATGACCAATACCATTTACGAGAATTATCTGTATCTTCTATAATGCTCAGGATATCATCTCACACAGCAATACGAAGCTACTGTACATTTTAGGTTACGTGATCTGAGGAATGAAGTCAAATCACAACTAACCAAGGGCTCCCAAAACAGGAAATAAAGACTGATAACAAATGCTATAGGAAATGGTCAAGGAGGAACACTAGAAGAGTTCATTTAAAAACAAATTATTAAAGTTGAAAAATTACACAAAGAGATTATAAAGAATTCTACAGGGGCTGGTGAGATGGCTGAGTAGAATAAGTGCTTCCTGGCAAGCGCAAGTGTCTGGAGTTCAATCCTCGGTTCCACCAAAAAAAAAAAAAAAAAAAAAAAAAAGAATTCTACAGACTTCATAAATAACCTCCATTGTTCAACAATACACTATAATTCAATTAAACAAATATCTGAAGTTTTACTGGTTAAATGCCACTTTGTAAGACTTCATTACAATCTGTCACAATTCTACAAAACAGCATACTTACTGAGATCTCTACATTTAATAGTACTATATTCAAAAGAGATACAGAGATAATCACACGCTTCTCTCAGCTCAGGAATAGATATGCCATCAGGACAACGAATTATTCCTGTCTTATAGTAATCCTGAAAAATAAAAATTAAAAAAATGCATAAAATACCTGGAGTGAAGGCAGCTAAAACTTATCAGTGCTGAGTTAAGAGCATTTTGAAAAACAGCAGAGGCTCTGGCATTTCTCAATTATGACATTTTAAAACTTAGCTTGATTCTCAGTTCACCAAACAATATTTTAATTTTACCTACAAGGATAATTCAGGCCCAGATAGATTCACTGAATTATCCAGGCATATAATTATTTAAAAGCACAGATAATTAGACTAATTCTTCCCACTATCTCATTCAGCTCATCTTTCTACATCACATCAATTCTTATAATTTTCCCAAACAAATTATCTTTTCTATACAACTACGTAATATGTTAAAAGTTCTTTTTGGGCCGGGGAGATGGCTCAGTGGAATAAGCACTTCCCTGGCAAGAGCAAGGGCCTGAGTTCAATCCCCAGTTCCGACAAAAAAAAAAAAAAAAAAGTTCTTTCTAAACGGTAAGGTAGTAAATAATGTTACCTTAAATATTGTATTACCTAGAGAATCTCACAAAATTTAAAGCTTTTAGTAAAGATTGTAAGGTCATATCTAAGTGCCAAGATACACTAGAGTTTGTCTAAATACCATCCTTCAACGTTTCCTTATCATTACAATAAATACCATCATTTACAAATCTACTTATAAAGTTGTCAGGACTGGGCCTTGAATCACATGGAAGATGTACCATAGCCATGTACATTATCAACATTCTTTGTGTCAACTCCACAGAAGTAAAATCAAAGTATGGGAAGCTTCCACCCAAATTAAAACTTGTCTTAAGCTTTTTGAGGTTTAGAACTATAGTACACAATTTTGGATTACAAAATTTCTAAAGTCAGGGTATCAGTAGAAGCAAAACATCTTCTAATACTTAGATAAGTACCAACAACCTGCTTAGATCAACCAATTTTCATATTGACTTTCCATCTCAGGATCCTCCCTCTTTTTTTCCCCCCTAAAGCCCTAAGGAAACTATATTTTCAAACTGTCACAATCTACAAGTAAAATCTTTATCAATGACTTGAAATAATAAGGAGAGACTCCGTAATACTAATTCAAATAATCCTCAAAACAAAAAGTTAAAACTTTTTTTTTAGTTTAAAACAAGGATGCTAAGGAATACAATTTTCTGCACAATTTTTAAGTGTTCATAAATTTTCATATTATTAGCCTCAAGCAGTAAGATATGATTCAAGTAGACTCATTCTTACTTAGCAAAAATGACTGATACACTGTATTTAAGAACATGAAGAAGACAAGAGTAATATAATTCTAGACATGTTACTACTAAATGCTTGAAAGAACTGGCTATGCAGACCTAAGAAGTGAGTCTTTATCTTATGGCAGAAAGATTATAAAATTCATTTTTATATCATATTATCACTATGTACTAAAATAAACATGAATTAAATAGTGTTTAAAGAAAAACAATATCAGCCATACCTCCAAAAAGACACCCAAATAAATAAGTTGATACATGTAAGAGACACTTACCAGAATGGCTCGAAATACAGTGGAACCAATTCCTTCTGCAACCTCATACTCTCCTTTCTCATTGGGACGTGTAAAATTATGTTCTCGGCCAGACCCAAACATTCTATCATAGTAAATAATTAAAATACACATCAACAGACACTTCCTTCAAAAGTGAAAAATAATCATCATTTAAGCATTAAACTATATAATTTAGTTTAAGAATTTTTATTAGAAATTTATTCTGGCAAATGTTACAAATGAAGGCATATTAAAATTATCAGGGGGTGGGCTGAGGATGTAGCTCACAGGTAAAACACTTCTTTAGCATGTGTAAGGCTGAGTTCAGTCCCCAGCACCACAAAAACAAACAAAAATATTCGTTAAGAAGAAACAGTAGTAGATTCATCAAGCTATGGTAAAATCAAATGATAAAGTTGAGGAGCTGAAGAACTTTCCAACTTAGGAGAAAAAAAAATCATTTTTAGGCAAAGGTGATTTTTTATCTGTGAAAGAAAAGAATTGATGGAGACAAATACAATGTGTCTCTGAGCAGGATTTATATTAACCAACTGGCTATTTGTGTTTACTTGTGAGCCTGTCAAGGCCTCGGCCCCTTGTCTGGAGTTTGCGGCCTGTAACAGTGAGTGAAGCAATGGCACCTCAAAGGACAAGACAGTAGCATGGCTGAGGACACCTGGCTCCAACTTCAAAAAGCTAGATAAAGACTGTAGCTGCAGGCATCTCACTCCTGTGGTGAAGGCCTTCCTGCAGATGACACTGTTCTCCTAGATTAATACAATGTATTACTTGGAGAAGTCTTTAAGGGGGTTCCCAAGTCCTTCCCAGATCCCTGCATCTTCTTCAGTATTCTCCACCTTGTTTTGATTAGCTAAATAAATAGGGCTGCCTAGATAAGTTTTTTGTCTTAAACTAGAGAATCTGAAATTCTGTGACAGGGTTTTTGATCCTCCTGGAGCCCTGCAATCATTCCATCTGTCTCTTTTAGTCTATCCTTTGCCATCCACTCATTTGGGAGATTGCGAGCCTGATTAGTCCTCAAAAACCAAGGGATATTAACACAATAGGATGTTATCTATTCTCTTTTCCTTAAAACTTGTTTTAATTATATATTTTCCTTAGAACTTGTTTTCATTGCTACATTAGTGCTTTAATGCAGCACATACAACAAACTAAAGTTGGAAAAAGTAAGATGCAAGCAAGTTAGGCTGTCTTATGTTTCTCAATCCTTCATAAATAAACGAAATCCTACTCAAAATTTATAGGCTTCTATTATAGAATTGAAAAACAACCAAGCAAATGCTAAGATACACAAGAGTGGAGAAGAGAAAAATACACAAAGAGTTGAATTTTTAAAATCTCAATATTAATGTTTATGTAATAAAAATATAAGATGGATGAATGTAATGCCTATAACCCCAGTACTCTGGGAGGCAGAAGCAGGAATACCACAAGTTCTAGCCCAGCCTAGGCAACTTAGTATATAGTGAGAGCTTTCTCTAAACAAACACACAAACAAACAAACAAACAGCTGAGGATGTAACTCAGTGTGAAGGCCTTGGGTTCAATCTGTAGTGCCACAAAGAGAAAATACAAATGGACTGTATCTGCTCAAGTTACAATGTTTACCCTTTAACAGCAGTAACTCAGAAGAGAGACAATTTGCAAAGTATGTCTTTTCAATCAAATTCAAGCTTAAAGCAGTACTCAAGAAAATTTTAAAACCAGAATTAAAGAAAGCTGAAATGGTACCATTAGCTAAAGTAAACATGGCTAACCTAAATATTTTATTCAATGGTTTCCCATTTCAAATAGTTTCCTCTTTTGTTGTAACACAAAAACCTGGGAAGAACAAAGCTTTTTTATTTCAGTTTCTAAAAGAATGCTAACTGCTTTCCAGTTTCTATGAATACTAATTTTCATCCCCAAAGATATTCATTAGTCAACTAACATGAAAAGAGGCTTTTATGGATAAAAAAAAAAAAGGCAGTCACTCAAAAATCAAATGTCATGCAATCTCCTCAAATGCTTGAACTTTTCACAAAAGGGGAATGCTATTCTTTCCAATCAATATGAATACATAATCTTAAAAACAGCTGAAGCAAAATTTCAAATATCCATTTTTTTTTTTAAACTGTTTTAAATCGTATGTAAAGTATTATTAGAAATGTCAAGTCATCTTCCTAACAGCTTCCATCAGTAGTTTTCCCTTATGGAGTATCACAATGTTAGCATTTATTCTATATTGAGACACTAGCAAATCACATACCAAGATGTCAGTACAAGATAAAGTCATCAATAAGTAAACTAGACTTCAAGACAAAGATTTTACCTCATGTAAACTTCTATTGTATTTTACCTATTGTTTCATTCAACTTCACAAAAAGATACTGATTTAATTTCACAAAGATACTGATTTCACAACTAGAAAGTACCTGATCCATGTTTTAAACCTGTTGAAAATCAAGTCTATGTTGTTTATATCCTTAGATTCCAGTTCCCATAACTACAAACTTTGTAACTATCAGGAGAAATCAAAAGATAACTATCAATTCCTTCATTCTACTAACTACACATGTCAATGGTATTCCTTATTTGGCTCCCTCAAAGTATATACATGAAATTGACAACTCATGCTCATATTAGCTAACAAAACTATTTTCTCATAAATAATGTTGCTATTTTCTATATCTGATGGTTTGGAAAATCAAGAAACATCATTGCTAAATTCACCGGGTTAAATTCAACCTATTGTTTTAAGCAACTGAGTAGATAGAAATAGTATAAGTAGTGAGTCAGGGCTAGGTCCTCAAAGAAGTCAGTATAGAAGACAAGATACCACACAGCTGTGGAAGAAACAGGCACTTCTGCTGTGGGCTAGACCTCAAGACAAAGATTAAGCAAATGCACCCATACATGTCCCTAGGGATAGGTATCAGGGACTGGATATTCTAAACAGGCAGCAAGCACCCTGAAAAAGCCAAGAAGAGTCACCAACCCAAGCCTCTACAGGAAAAGCCCGTTTTGTATTCATGTTAGCATGTTGCTCAACTGGCTTCCCCATCTAATCCCAATTTAATCAGTCTTTCCTGATCAATTATACATGTAATCTTAATGGTTGACCACAGTTCTGTCCCACCTCATATCCACCTTGTGAATTCTGTGTTTCCCACCTTAGACCTGCCTTGTGTCATCATTTGCTCTATGAAAATCCCTAGAAGGCAACATACTTGGGTCCTCTTCTCTCTCTCTTAGAAGCTTTCTTCTCCCCAATAAATATATTCTGCTCTTAACCTCTAGAAAACAAAAACTCGTCCCAGGTATCTTTCAGGTTGGAAGTTTCTTTACTGTATTTCACTATGATCTCAATCTGTGTAGATCTTCCAATATCCTAACTTAAATAAAGTGTTCTGTTCCTACTTATACTACAGGAACACTGGAAATTAATATAAGTTCTACTTTTTGTTCTACAATGCTGTTATTCTGACAGAAGTAAATAATTTAACTTCCAAAACTATTCTTTCATGTACAAAATTTCAAACAGGAGATCACAATGGAGAATTACTATCGAGCTTAAGTCAGAAAATAATGGCTGTGAAAATGCTTTGTAATCAGTAACATAAAAGCAGTAATACAAACCTGCCCAACATTGTATTTGGCTGTGCAGTAAAAATGGATGGGTCCACAACAAATCTAGTGTTATCCACTATTAGCGTCACTCGTTCTGATGTTCTCACATTCCGAGCGCCTTCTTTTGGATTTTCATATACAAACACCATCTCCCCGGTTGTCTTACAGCTGCCATCTGAACTTGACTGACTACTGTTTCTGCTGCTGTTCCCAGCACTGCTAACTGAACCATTTGGAGATGCTTTTTGAAGACGAGGACTGCTTGGACGAGAAGAACTATGATCTTTTTCTCTTTCTCTTTCTGAAATAAAGATATCAACATTTATCAATCTTATTTTAAGAATTCAAGATCTGTACATATCTTTTGAAATACCAGATTTAGAAAAGTTGTTTTAAATCACAAACCTCAAAACATCAAAATGTTTCCTAAAACCTTCTTTATGGCCTTTAAAAGAGATAAACAGCTAATTACTTTTTACTCAGAGTAATATGAAAACTGATTTTTGTATTATTACTCCACCTTAGAAGTACATAAACACAAAGCTGAGTATTCTTATAAGTCAAATACATATTGAAAATTAGTCAAAAATTTTAGTAAGAGTACTATTATAAACTGCCCTAATTACTAAAAGAGGTAACACTATTCTAAGAACATAAAGTACAAACTTAGGAATCTCATTATATTAATAAGGGCACTGTAAAAAGTTTATCTCAAAAAAATCTAACACGAAAGAAAACTCACTAAGGACAGTAAGAAGTAGTTATTTTTTTAAATGCCTTTAGGTATATACAAAATAAAGTGGCTTTGGCAGCTGATGATATACTGATTTCTTCTCATTTTCATGTCATAGAATAAAGCAATGCCATACATTTGAATGGATCCCTAACTATTCTCTATAATTTCCACAGGTATAAAATGTTAAATTCAGAAAATTTTCTTTGGGTGCTTCAACTGTCTACAAAGGGAAGCAGAAACTAAGATTGTGTGGTAAGCTTTATTTAGAGGATAGATCTCTTAACTTTAAAGGTGACCTAAAAAAAATGTACCTCCTTCTCCTCAGTTTCATCAGCTTTTGCCAAACTCCTCCATGACTCAGGCTACTTAGAACACTCTGTACAGCATTACTGATTATATAATTAGGTTTGTCTCCAGAGACACTCTGACACCTCCTTTTTATTGCCTGTCTCCATACTGCTGAGGGAGCACCCCAAAAGCAAAATTTGCTTAATAAAACCATTTATTATATTTTGCTATCCTGTTCTCAGACTCTAGACCAGTATATCCTTGCTTACAACTTCTGTTAAGTTTTGGCTTATTAACAGTAACTTGTCTTCCAGGACCGACTTAGATATTAATAACTTCTCTGTATAATTAACCCCTAATATGAATAATTCTGATTTACAACAAACTATCAGAAACTATCCTGTACAGTTAAAGTATCTGTGTGTGTGTGTGTGTGTATGTATGTGCATGCTGGAGATTGAAACGAGGGTCTTAAGCATTCTAAACTAGTACCCTACCACTGAGCAATACTCTCAGCCTCAATCTGTTTTGGGGTACTTTTCCATATACTGAGGATTAAAACTAAGATTGTGCTCATGCTAAGTATACTCTCTATCATTGCACTATATATCCACCACCAACAAAGTCAACTGTCTTCCCTAGGTGAAAATGAAAGTCAGCAAGCTCACACTGCTTAGCCACATCTGCTTTGGATTGGTACTGTACCTTACAGTCAGTGTATTAACCTGCAATAATAATGTTCATTTATAGTAATGAGTGGGAAGGAGGGGAAAGACCTGAACTAGTTACTTAAAATATAAAACACTTCCCACTTCCCTTTCATCTTGCTTTTATTATTTGAGACATTGTAAAAAATCAGAATAAATAACCCCATGATGGTTATGCTTTAACTTTGTTAGAATTATTAGATTCTTATCACTAATTAACTACAAATAATCTTATAATAAACCACTGTTATATATCTCATATGACAACAACTAGAAATTTTGTAAAAAATCTATGTCTCATAATCCCAAAGGTGTTTCAAGCTACTTCCTTTGGTAAGACTGTCCCAGACTCAGAATATTCATGTCAAATTCCACTTAATAAGATTTGTTTTCACAGTAAGAGCCAAACTCAACTAGAATAAAAACAACTGAATTGAAGAAGCTAATTTTATTCTTCAGGTATTAAGACACAATTCAATGTCACTGCCTGTTTTTATGAACTAGTGAGAATGTTAGCTGATTTTACATACCGATATGGTGCTGTCGTGTTGGAGAAGTAACATTTCGAATACAAGGAGTGAGCTGAGATTCTGTTCTTTCATGAGATGAATCTCGTGATCGGTCACTTGACCTCCGTCTGTCTCTTGATCTCTCATGTCCCCCACTAGCACCATGCAGACTCATTCTGGTGTTGTCCACTCCTCCTCTAGCAACACGTGAGCAAGTACTGGTAAGACAGAAAAAAATTAACCATAAAAGCAGAAAAGTAAGATCACAAAATACTTTAAAGGAAAACACAAAACAAGAAAAATACAACATGAACTACCTATATTTTAAGTACAAAAGTTTGTAAATGTTATTTCTAATTCTATTAGCAATAATCGCACCTGGGAAAAATTTCATTGTGTACAATACAGTCAATGCACAAAGTTTGCTTTCCAATTCTTTAGTCTAATTTATCTCAAACTTGCAGGCTGTATAAATTCTGGAATACGTGTGAAGAACACATATTTGAACTCAGTTTCTTATGGATGAGAAAACTAAAATTCAAACTTTTGAGTTACATGTAGCAGTAGAAGTAGGAGTTGTAGTATTAAGAACACCAGTTTCTTGGGCTGGCCAGATAGCTCAGCAGACTAAGCGCCTGCTTAGCCAGACGCAGGACCCTGGTTCAAGCCCTGGTGTGCAGTACCAGCCCTGCCCCCCAGGGCGTGCTAAGACACAATTGAGACTGGACATGGTAGCATACCCCTGCAATCCCAGTGCTTGGGAAACTGAAAACAGGAGAATCACTATGAGTCTGATCTGTGTAGTGAGACCCTGTAGACCCTGTACTAAATACATTAAAAAGGGGCTGGTGAGATGGCTCAGTGGTCTAAAGCACCTACTTAGAACAAGCTTAGCAAAAGCACAGGGACCATGGTTCAATCCCCAGCACCACATGCCAGCCAGCCCCGCCCCCTGGTGGGCTGAGCTGGCCACACACACACACAAATAAATAAAATTAAAAAAAAAAATTAAAAAAAAAACATTAAAAAAAAATTACCAGTTTCTTGAATACTTGAAAAACTGAGGTAGGGATAGGGCAAAGCAACTCATGTCCTTGTCAAAAATACTAACTTCAATTCATTCTGAGAACTCTTCAAATACTATGAATAAAAACTGATTGGTTTTTCAGCAGTGCAGTAAAAAGAAAGATATAAGAAATGTTTATTAACTCCAAAGACACAGAGTAGATCAAGGGCAGATGGGAAAATCCTCTGACCTGAGATAAAGAAAGCTGAGACTTTTTTCCTATTTATATATTTGGCACAGGGTCTCATTGTGCAGATCGGACTCGTAGTGATCCTGCTGTTTTCAGCTTCCCCAGCGCTGGGTTTACAGGGATGCGCCACCATGCTCCAACTCAGACTTGGACTCAGCTGCCAGCTCAGCAGGCTCTGGGGGTGGGGTCGGTGCGGCATGAAGGACTAGGGATCGAACCCTGGTCCCTGCACTTGCCAAAGCAGGCACTTTGCTGAGCTATTTCACTAGCCTTGGAAAGCTGAGACTTTCATGGAGTCTGCTGGGGGTGGAGTTTGAGGGGCAGTTTTAAATACATGTAAGGAGATGATTGGGGTCTCTCCTGTGTGTGTGGGAAAGGTGAGAGGAAACTGTATCCAGGGCTGGAGTGGGGAAGGAGGAGGAAGTGGTCATTGGGAAGATAAGCTGTTGTTTTAAGGGCTTCAGCCATGTTGATGACCACCATAATTTAGCAGTTTATACTAGGGCCAGACCCTATCAAAAAATATTTTTGAAAAGCCTCTGAAAAACTGAACTATAATGATCAGAATTTTTAAAGTTTAAAATCTCTCATAGAATAAAGTGAATACAGTGACTAAGAACACTGATCAACTAAAAGTCTAATTAATAGAATCAACTTATAATATATTAAGTTATATGCAGCATGCATGCACAATGCTATGTAAATACCTAAAATAAGAGGTTCTTTCTGTAGTATATCCAATCTTAAGTGTAGCAGTAATGCAAAAAAGTGGAGAAACTTACAAATCTGTTATACCAACTTCTAAATGTAAAGCTACTACCTATATCCGATTCACAGCTACTGAGCAATACTTAATAAAAAATACCTTAGAAACTCAAAGGAAGAAGACATACATTAGGCCCTAATAAACTGATAAGATTTTAATTATCAAAATATAATGCAGGTTGTAAAACAGAGTATTCAAAAAAACCTGACCTAAGGCAATTTGGAAATTTACCATGCTAGCATACAATGGGGTTCATAGTCTTAAAATTAAAAGTATTTTTAGAAATAAAAAGAACTTCATGACTTTAGAATAATGACTTAGATTCATCAGGTTCACCAGTATGTCATCATAATCCTGGTTATTTGGGAGGCTTGAGCTTGAGGCCAGCCTGTGTAACTTAATGAGACCCTGTCTCAAAAGACAAAAAGGAATGTAGATGTAGCTCAGTGATAGAGCATCTGCCTGTCATATGTGAGCACCTTGGTTTAATCCTCAGGTCACACACACACAATCTTTCTCTCTCTCTCTCTCTCTCTCTCTCTCTCTCTCTCTCTCTCTCTGAATCAAATTAATATTAATGTTTCTTGACATTTTGAGTGTTTCTTAATATATTGGGAACCTAGGTTTACATCTATAAAATGTAGATTCTATCTACTTTCAGCCTATCTTTATCTTACCTCCCTTACAGAGTAGCCACCAAACAAGGCAACAGTCCTGGTGGGTGAGGCAAGGATAGGCTGGCTGGGGCTGGCATTCTGGATCTTTAGTTTTCAAGGCTGAGTACTGTTTGGTTAGGTATTACTTGGGGGGGGGGGAATGTATGAGAACTAAACAAATACAGCAAGTGCACAGGCCAGCAACGCATCTAGCACAGATCGCCTTTACCTGCTAGATCATTTAGTTATCACAAATGAGGATAATAAGAGTCCAAACTATCAAGCTTTGGTCAATCGCATAGCATTTAGTAGACTAATGTGTTTTGATTTGTTCCACTGCTCTCTCCACAGTATTCTTACCAAAACCACACTAGTTAAAATTTGATCATCCCAGGGATTCAGAAGTTTTAAATTCTTTAGTATCTCAAGATCATCTTTTTGCTAGTTTCTTAGTTATAACAGTTTTTGTTATGTTAGTGGTTTATTTCATTATAAAAATCTACAACAGAAATTATGAACAAAATATAGGGTGCACTTTTATTTATCCTAAAAGGTACTTGTATAGAAATGACAGCCTGTTAGCTTTTATCAATTTTTTTGACTCTTATAAAACTAAAGAAAAAAAATTCTACTCAATCTTATATTTAGTAAAAAGTAACACACAACAATTATACTCTTAAAATATAACATTTTCTTCACTTAGAACAATTCAAAAGATCCTAATGCATTTATCTTGAAAAAAGAAATTCCAAACACTGGAATTTCTTGTTCATTTGCTAAAGCAAGAAAAAAGGAATAAACATTAATAGAACAAAGATCATGTTGAAAACAAGTAACTTCAAATTATTCTAAGTTTTAATCACTTTCAACTATAAGAAAGCACATTTCTTAAATATTAGTCTGATACTTTAATGGAAAAGGCTCAATTACAAGTAAGGCAAATGCAGGCTAAATGCTCAGTGTAAGGGCCAAACAGATTAATTGGTTGAGAAAGCATTTCCGCCAAATACCTTTGTAGCTAGAAGGTTAGAAAATTCTAAACATTCTGCTGAGCTACTGGCTTCATTTCAAAGCTGCTTAGATTTTAAACAAATGCCTGAGGTGTCATAATATATTTCCATCTTTTGATTACCAGATACAATGCACCCTAAATCAGACCTTCAAAATCAAATGGCACTGAAGACTAAATATAGTCTTTTCAATACAATAAAATAATTTCAGACCAGGAAAAGAATAAAGGTAAAAACAATGTGAAAAATAAAATAAGGACAAGTAAGTTCAAAAGGGTCAGCTCTGATTCCGTCTGCATTTGAGTTCCAGGCACAGGAATTGAAGCTAGGTAAGGAAATGAAAGAGGAGAGCAGGCTCAGGCCCAAAGTCTGTTTGCAGCCAAGACAGAACAACAAAGCCTGCATTTACTCTTCTGTCTTAACTCCAAAAAAGACAGAACACGTGAAACAATGATTTGCAAGACATAGAACATCAGCCCCTAAAGTTCCAAAGTAAATGAAATAAAATCTGCAAGAGCTCCAATTTACTATCTGGAGGGCATTTCCAGAGTAAATACACAGAGGGAAAAATAGGACAGAACCCAAGGGACTATGTATTAAAGATATGGAGCTGAGATGCTGGGATAAAAGATGGCGAGAGTTCTCAGAATAAAGAACTAAAGGAGAGCAGCACAGAGACAAATCTCAGAGAGCTGCAGAGTCCTTGAGTACTGAGCTGAATATTAGTACACACCAAAGGCCAGGGACAGAAAGGATTCAAAGAAACAATAGCCGCACACACACAACGTTAGGAATAGGGCCTGATCCCACAAGCCATATGGAAAATGCTCAGAATTCATAGGGCACTGGGGAAAGAACCAGGAGTCTTAACCTTTGAAATGAGAAATGTGACCCTGACTGATCTGTTAGTTTGTGTCTAGTGGTCCCCAAAGCCTCACACAGCCATGGGGAGGCTTCTGGAGTTCTGATTAATCGCTGTGGGTGTGGATGCTGCACTCGCCCTGGGGCAGGTAACTGGCACTACAGTGTGAGCAGGGGAAGGCAGCCAGGCAGCTACCTAAGTTGCAGTCTTCCCTTCGCTCTCCCTGCTTTACCACGTCCATGAAAGGCTGCTCTCCACCTTGTGCTGCTCTGCTTTGGAGCCTGCCGAGTATGGATTGAAACCTCCAAGTAACTGGGAGCTAAATAAACCTCTCTTTCTTCATTTTGAGTATCAGATATTTGTCCTAGAAACGAGAGAAGAGTAATGACAAAACCTAAATTTTAACAGCAAGATCCACAACAACCAAACTGCTTCCAAATAAGTGAAGCCTTTAAAATACCAAAAACAAAAAAAAAACCCGGAGAATAATTATAGGAAGCATATCAAATGACCAAGCAAGGTAATATTCACAATACATGGTATCAAATAAAAAATTACCAAGCATGCAACAAACTTGGAGCACATAATTCATAATGGAGGCTGAAGGGCAGGAGAAAGAGTAACTGAAATCAATCCAGGACAGACATATACATCAGAATTAGAAAATA